TGTAGCCCGTGTGATCGGTAAATAGGTCAGTGCAGAGAAAACATTCACCATGGATCAGATCTTTAGGAGTCAGACTGACTCAGACCCTGACATACTCTCATGTGTAGGCTGCGTGTGTACACACGTGTTTTGACATGTTTGAGTCCCAGAGATCAGAGGTGTGTGCTCATTTTTAGTGAAACATCTTCCGTGAATCCAACACACTCAATATGACCTCGTTACTCCATGCGGATTGTTTGGCTGTCGGCGCACATTCAGCATCCCAGGTTAGATCAGACTCATCGATGCTTGAGCACGTCTGCTGCTCCCAGTCTGACTCACAGTAATGATACATGTGCAGAGGGAGAGCTTCAGCACGCCAAGCACATGTACACACAGGAGTGGGAAGGAAGGCTAATTCAGGAGGAAGAGAAGAAGAACGCTGAAGGATGAAGGGGTTGGGGATGTGAGGCAGGACAAAAAGACCAACTCTGGTGTGGTTCTTAGTTGTTTTTATTTGGATTGCGTTGCCAAATATAAAACAAGGACACGCTGTTCAGAAGTAACAGCAGTGGGCGCTCATTCAGCAAGGCTTACATGTTAGTGAGGGGTGTTAGAGCCGAATGTCTGTTTGTTATTGAGCCCTGTTCTGAGAAATCAGCTGTTGGGTAATTTTATCAATCCAAGATTACCTTAGGAAAAGTTTAAAGCACAGGGGGTTATAGTAATCAATCAACATCAATACCATTCATAAACAATCAATATAGACTTTGCAAAGTGGAGAGGAAAAGATACACACCAAACAAGGGTTGCAGTTCACTCTCATCAGACTGACGTTCTCCGAAAGCATTTCAAAATAAAATCAAATCACTTTTATTGTCACGTCACATGTGCAGGTACACTGGTACAGTACATGCGAGTGAAATTCTTGTGCGCGAGCTTCACAGCAACAGAGTTGTGCAAAAATACAGTAATGTAAAAAACAAGCAAAATATAAAAATGGCTAATCTAAGTAATAATATGTATAGTATGTAAGGTATACACATTACTAAATGTGTGTGCAAGTATTTTATTTTTTTATTTTTCTACGTGTGTGCGTGTGAGTGTGTGTATAGTGTGTATATACATGTTTTACAAATGAATAAAGTAAACAATAAGATAAGAGATATAAAATATACAGAGGTTGGTATGTGCAAAACAGTGGCATTAATGTACAGTACGGAGTGTGTAATGTTGGCGTTTTAGTAGTGAGGGTGAGGTGTCTGCGCCGTGTTCAGCAGTCTGCTGGTTCTGGACCGGATGCTGCAGAACCTCCTTCCTGATGGAAGTAGTCTGAACAGTTTATGGCTGGGGTGACTTGAGTCCTCGATGATCCTTTAAGATTTATTAAGCACGCACAAAGATTAACGCACGCACATTTTGACATTCCTTAGACTCTCAGGCGGGAAAGCAGTAAAGGGAGTCTAAACTTTCTCCAGGTGCACCCTAAATCAACAAAGCCATTGCTAGACTTTTCTCAAGGGAGTTTTACTGATAGCGGTCGGTGCCAAGGCAAGGTCATCCTCTTCGTAAAATCTACTCCTCCCTTTTTTTTTTTTCCGGAACTGCGCTGCTCTGGGTGGCTGCATGTTGGAGTAGCTCTGTTGACTATATGCAAGTTTTGCCTTTTCTTGGGTCATTTTTTCTTCTAGTTTCTCAAGAAAAACTGTATTTTTTTGGACATTTTACTTTTCTGTTTCTGGTGCTGTGAGGCTTAGAGGATTTTTACTGCTATTTTTTAGCTTTTTTCATTTTTTGAGCATTTGTTATGATGCGTAACCATGGCAACAAGATGGTTTACAATCGGGAGCAGCTGATTAACATTGGGAAGGCTGAAATAATACCTCAACTGAAGCCACAAATCCCAAATGAGCTAAAACGCAAGAAGCGTGGGTGCAGAGCAGCAGCAAAACGGAGACAGAGAAAGAGGAAATTCAAACCATCTCTTCCATCGATCATAATGGGCAATGTGAGATCACTGGCCAACAAGATGGAGGAACTCTTTCAGGGACTCAGCCAGATTTTCGGAACCGCTGGAGGAGATAATGCAAAGAAGGATTCTCCAGAGAATCAAGAAAATGATGGACAACCCTGAGCATTCTCTTCACAAGACTGTCCGACAGCGGAAGAGTGTCTTCAGTCAGAGGCTTCTTCAGTTTGGCTGCAACACTGATCGCTACTGGAGATCCTTCCTGCCAACAGCCATTGTAATATACAACAACTCTTTGATGACTTGATTATTATTTTTATTCTGAGCTACTACAGCAATCAATTTCCCTCTGGGATTAATAAAGTATATTTGAATTTGAATTTGAAGACCTACTGGATCCTGATCTCCATAAACAGGATGAAAAAGGATGAAGCTGCGTTTAATAAGACACCAGATGTTTAACAGTCAAGACATTAATATTAGTTCAATAATGTTAATATCAGTTTTTATCTAACATTAGCAAAATCCTAATTTTTAGACTCCGTCTGAACTGGATCTGATTTAAAAATGGGGCCTTTCTGGGTGAATTTTGCACTTTAAATCTGGTCTCTTCGTGCTTCTCTTTGTTTATTTTGAAATACTTCACATATCATTTATACATTTTCATTTGTAAAACTCAGATTTGTACATTCTGGTCCTACATGGAGGTCATGGTACTAGAAATAGATGAAACAACTAATTACAACCAGATGCATAAAAATATTAATATGTGAACATGCAACAAGGTTAGCGCTGCATGAGTTGACGAGAGATGATCCATCCACCCATCCCTGTCCAGTTATCCGCTCTGAGGCATCAAACCCAGATATGAGGCACTAGATTCAGAGTTAGACTTTGAATCCAGTTTTCTACACAGTAAAATGCTGATTGATGAACTGGGAGCACTGGACCTGAACATCCCTCTGTACAGCTGGAGTTCAAGCCTTCTTGCTGTCCAACCCCAATCTGTCCAATCCGAATGAGCTCCAGTTCCCTAGATGTGTGCTGGGCGTTTTGCTGTGCCACATCAAGAATTATTCACATCAGTGTGCAGACATCACTGCTATCATAGAGCACATTCAGGATGATGGAGAGTCTGTTTACAGGGAGGAGGCAGAGAAGCATCTCATGGATGGTTCAGATCAGATGTTAGAGAAGATCAGCCCGGCTGTGGAAACAAGATGGAGTTGGTTGTTACTGTTATCTGCTCTTTATTACAAAGTTCATCCGTGTCTGTTTCTTATGTTGACTGAAGACATTTTATTTTCAATTCCCACAAATTTCTACAAATATGTTTATTTTGTCTTGATGCACT